CTAGGTCCTTCCGCAAAAGATCCTTTTGCTCTGAAGCACTATGATATAATTGAAGTATTTTTTTGGAGAATTGAATTATGTATGAAGTTTCCTACTCAGACTCATCCATAGATCATGAATTATGAATGGATTGACTCGTTATTTGATGAAAATTAATAACACTTTCCATGATAATAATTGAACAATTTTCACAAACATTTTTTATTTCAAGACGCGTTTCGCGAACACCGTAGCTTCCTTGGGTAGATAAATAAATAACAATGAGTCACACATAATATAAGACAACAGATCAGGCGTCTAAAAACTAACATGCGGATCATGCCCAAAATTGTATGTAGGAAGGACTTCAAGAAATTTTGGAACAATAATCTCAGAGAATAAAAGAAGTTTTGAACTGAAAAGAGCAATTCCTCCTATGCGTTGTACCTTTTGGAGAACAATTACAGTTTCAACACTATGTACTACATACTCCCTTCACCAGGAGGAGAAAATTGGACGATCTAACGCCACTTTTCCTCAATGGTGAGCTTATCCCATTTGGAATGGAGGAGAAATATCTAGGCATTGTCCTTGTTAAAAAACTCTCCTGGAACGCCCACTTGGAAACAGTTTTACACAAAGCCAGACTATCCCTATGGACATGTTGAAGGATTTGTGGTAAAACTTGGATTTATGTGATGATTGTCAGACCAATGATCACTTATGGTGCAATTGCTTGGTGGCCGAAGGCTTTACAGAAAACGGCATGGAAATCTTTGTATGTGAGACCACAGAGAAAACATCTTTCTGTTGATGCAGTTTCCGTGACTGCATTACACACTTTGCCGTCAACCATTGTGAGTAGCAATTTGAAATTTACCTCAATGGGTGTTATTAAATTCATATGTCAGTGGCCGCAATTGCTGTATTTGTGCATCTATATGTTCTCTTTCCCGTCTGGATAATTCTTGGGTTTCATGTTGGAACTGAAATCTTATTGGTCTACAATACCGTGTAGAGGAACTTCTTGTGTTGTGCCAAAAATAATTTCCTGTTGTTCTAACGTTTTTTTCGATATCAGTCTAATAGGTACAAGAGAGGAAATGAAAATATTTGCATCTCTGGCATTTGGATCACTGTCGAAATTTTGTTTACATTCTGCTTGTCCTGATCCATCAAAACCCCACTTCTAAATTATCATCAATTTCTGAAAGGTCTTGGGTGTCTTGCTACTGAAAACTGCGTCCTGAGCATCCAAGAGGCGTGAAGCGGTATGATTGAGAAGAGCTTGCAATAGTACTTTGGCAGAAGCCTCTGTTACTATAATGCTGGCTCCGTTTTTTGGCGTTTTTTTCTCTCTGAAGATGCGGTGAAAGTAATTTGAGGTCTACCTGCTTTCTTAGATGAAATGATAAAATTCGGAAAACTTATTGAAGTATTCAGCCAGTTTTCGTTTTTCATAACAAATCCGTCATGAATTCGATTAGATCTCTGCCATCTTTTCTTGAAATCCAGGGTTCACACATAATATAAGACAACAGATCAGGCGTCTAAAAACTAACATGCGGATCATGCCCAAAATTGTATGTAGGAAGGACTTCAAGAAATTTTGGATAATCTCAGAGCATAAAAGAAGTGTTGAACTGAAAAGACCAATTCCTCCTATGCGTGCTACCTTTTGGAGAACAATTACAGTTTCAACACTATGTACTACATACTCCCTTCACCAGGAGGAGAAAATTGGACGATCTAACGCCACTTTTCCTCAATGGTGAGGTTATCCTATTTGGAATGGAGGAGAAATATCTTGGCATTGTCCTTGATAAAAAACTCTCCTGGAACGCCCACTTGGAAAAAGTTTTACACAAAGCCAGACTATCCCTATGGACATGTTGAAGGATTTGTGGTAAAACTTGGATTTATGTGATGATTGTCACTTATGGTGCAATTGCCTGGTGGCCGAAGGCTTTACAGAAAACGGCCAAGGCAAAGCTTTCTGGCAAACAGAGACAGGGTTGTCTGGCTATCAGTGGTGCCATCAGTACCACACCGTCAGTGGCCATGGAGATCCTTCTAGATCTACCTCCTCTCCACATTTTTCTGAAGACAGAGGCTAGATGGACTGCATACAGACTTGTGCACATTGCCAATTGCACAAATCAATTTAATGCAGAGTGCAACAGACTGTTGGTTGACACTGGAAGTCACATCATTCTGGAAATGACCTCTAACTTTATGCTTCCAACTGCCAACTAAGAACTACGTTATAAAGTACTGTTCCCGAGTAGACGAGACTAGATCCTCCGGGAGAAGGAAATGTTAAGAGCAGATAGTTGTTTGTTCACAGATGGATCAAAAACACCTTTCGGTTCCGGTGCAGGTGTTTTCAGTCGCAGATCCAGGACAGAGATATCAACGTGCCTAGGAACCTACGCGACTGTATTTCAAGCGGAAATTTACGCTATTGAATTGTGTGAAGAGAGATTTGAAGAATCCAACCTCATACACAAGTCAATAATAATATTCTCGGGCACAGTCAAGCGGCGCACAGTGAGGCCAAATATACGAATTGTTGGCAGAAATTAATATATTGTTTTTTCATGTTTTTCGGGAAGAATGTCACATTGGAAAGTGGTGCTAGATTGGCATTAGTTATTTGCATGTTGTCAGTGAAGGGTCAAATAATTCATTTCACACAAATAATCATTTTCATAGCGATTCGTCGAAATTATTACTCATCAATGATTCGCTGCTGTCGATATCTTGTGAGATATCCACGTCACTAAAGACAATACATCTTTTTCGAGCGATACTGCTTTCTTCTTGGGTATTTTTCCCATGCTGGTGATGAAAGGATCATGAGGAGGATCATCATTATGAGGAGCAAGTGAAGGACATCATCGTTCGTTGCAGTACGTGATATCTTGCGAGAATAATACTCGCTATCTCTTGAAATCTTCGTTGCGGGCTCGGGCTTCTTCGCTCAGTTGGCCAATTGGAAGTATAGCATGTTCTCTAATACTGGAGCCGTGTATTAGNATTAATTTTCAAGCACTCCAAAGATTGAGTTTCAAACCCTTCTCTTCCGAATGTAATACTTCATAGTCGTGGTTGAAGTCATTCCCCTCTACGTTCTTTTATTCTTTATTTCAGTCATTGTTACTTCCTAAACCGGGCTTTGGTTTATCTACCAATATACTTAACTCATGTCGCTACAATTTGCTTTTTTTCTCTCCATGGGCTTGCGATATCTTCAACGGTAGTTTATATGCAAGGTGTAGTAGACATTCGAAAAACCGTATCCATGCATGAAGCACAGATAGGCCAAATTCCAGTCTAGTTGTGTCCAGTTCGGTTGCAAAGGAAATTTTGTCAATATCATTGAAATCTTTGTATGTGAGACCACAGATAAAACATCTTTCTGTTGATGCAGTTTCCGTGAGTGCATTACACACCTTGCCGTCAACCATTGTGAATAGCAATTTGAAATTTACCTCAATGGGTATTATTAAATTCATATGTCAGTGGCCGGAATTGCTGTATTTGTGCATCTATATGTTCTCTTTCCCGTCTGGATAATTCTTGGTTTTCATGTTGGAACTGAAATCTTATTGGTCTACAATACCGTGTAGAGGAACTTCTTGTGTTGTGCCAAAAATAATTTCCTGTTGTTCTAAGGTTTTTTCCGATATCAGTCTAATAGGTACAAGAGAGGAAATGAAAATATTTGCATCTCTGGCATTTGGATCACTGTCGAAATTCTGTTTATATTCTGCTTGTCCTGATCCATCAAAACCCCACTTCTAAATTAACATCAATTTCTGAAAGGTCTTGGGTGTCTTGCTACTCAAAACTGCGTGCTGAGCATCCAGGAGGCGTGAAGCGGTATGATTGAGAAGAGCTTGCAATAGTACTTTGGCAGAAGTCTCTGTTACTATAATGCTGGATAACATTCGGGCGAGAAGGCTCCGTTTTTTGGCGTTTTGTTCTCTCTGAAGATGCGCTGAAAGTAATTTGAGGTCTACCTGCTTTCTTAGATGAAATGATAAAATTCGGAAAACTTATTGAAGTATTCAGCCAGTTTTCGTTTTTCATAACAAATCCGTCATGAATTCGATTAGATCTCTGCCATCTTTTCTTGAAATCCAGGGTAAAGAACAAATTTTTTTTTATGAAGTGCAGGTAAACCTTGTTGACAACTTACACAGCTGCAAAAATAGCTAACGTCAAATCAAGTTGAACAGAACGCCTGCAAGATCTGCAATACGTATTATCTCCCATGCAGACACTATTCAACTTTACAATCGTGTGTTATTTGACTCCGATTGCTTGTTTTTCTTTTTGGAGTTCCTGCCAACAATTGGTATATTTGGCCCCAATGTGCGGCGTTGGAAGCTCCTACCGAGCAACGTCTAAACTGGTAACAAATTGCCTAAAACGACTCTCCTAGATAGAAAAACTCAACAGATTGTTTTTGGTCTGGATTCTTGGCCATACCCTTGCGAATTGCGGTGGAGGGTCGAATAGACCCACTCACTTCGGACCTAACCAAACCTAACTACATAATCCATGTAGAAGTTAAGGGACAGAAGTTGAACTTGCTGGAGTATCTGGAAATAAATAAGGGTAAACGTTTGTGTTTCCTGTTGAACGACCAACAGATGTTGACCACTCACCATTGTTGAACCATTTTTCATAATACCAATAATTGTATTCATATTCAAAAATTTTGCTCCTGTCAGAGAACTGAGATTGTAATTGGTTTATACATTGCAATCGCTTTCACTATTAACCAATTGGATTAGGTACCCACTACTGTTATATAATAAAATTTAAGCCCAGTGTGTAATATTCATTTCTACCAAAGCTACGGTGTTAGCAAAACGCGTCTAGAAATAGAAAATGTTTGTGTTAGTTGTTTAACTATCGTCATGGATCCATAGAATCATTCTTTTGAATATTCGCACGTTATTCAGGAACAAAATGTATTCATGTAACTGAGTCACAAATAAAAATTCGAATTCAACTATAGTTATTAATTTATTCGAAAAACATAACCCAATTCCACTTCAGTTATGAACTTGGAGCTCACTTTAATTTTGAATATATAATTAATTAGAATAGCATAAAGAAATGAGTTTTCTCGCTTTAAAATGGATGTCATGTTTTGCTTTATATATTTAGTGACCGAAGTGAAATTGTGGTAACTATTCTATTATTCATTGATAGAAAACTAGTAAAAAAGATATCGATACAGGAATCAGTTGGCAACACGTCCAGCAAATAGTATAACGCCATCCTTGACAATGCAATAAAAGAAGGGATGTTGCACGTAGAAAACTTTCGGGGGTTGATGATCGTATATTATTGCCGCGGCTTCCGCAAACAAAACTGAAAAGAGAAATATTTGAATTGAAAGGGTTATATTTTTAGGAGTGACTAATTTTTTTGGGAAAGAAAGTTTTTTGCTTTCTACTACTCCATCTTGATACAAAAAATGTGAGAATCTTCCAAAGAAAGGAAGTAGTTTTTGATATAGAAAAAAAGTGATATATTAACTGTAGTAGGTATTGAAAATATAAAAATATCAAATCTTTTCTCAATTTTTTTAAAATTTCACAAGTTTGATGAACTGAAATCTTCAATAAAATATTCCAGATATAAGTGAAATAGTGAATGGTGTGAATGGTATATACTGAACGACTTATAACAGTATGTATAAAATAAATGAAACTAATGAGAATATCATTAACATTACCCAAACGGCCACACAGTTGAGCTAGACGGGATTATTAGGTATATCAGTTCGTAGAACAAAAACTGATGAGTAACATGAATGAAAAGTTCGAATTCAGTTGTGGTATCACTTTATTTCATATATAAAATATTATAGTTATCAAAAATCAAATATAGCATGTCAGATATTAGCGAGATACATGTCCTGCAAATAGTATAACTCCATCCTTGACAATAGAATATGAGAACGGATGATCTACATAGAACACTTTTGGAGGTTGTGGATCATCATATACAACTGAAGAAAGTAGCAATATCTTAACTGAAATAATAAAAATTCCCAAGTTATGAAACTATTCAGAAAATGGAGATGTGATTAGTGATATTCAGCTGCTGTGTGACCCAAAAGAAATTTCATTTATTTGAATAGCTGTGCTCCAGAAATACCAGAAAAATTCATTTTCTGCTTTACCTACAAAAACTCCACAAAGTTACATACTCGTATGTAATGGAATTTGTCGGTACTTGATGAATATCCCTAACTCATTCAAGTAACACTCTAATTTAGGATTTTCACTGAAAACTTTATGAAACTACAACACGTGTTTCGCAATACAATGACTTCCTAGCGTTTTCAAACTAATTGATTTTTACTCGATTTATGCTTTATATAAAAACGATTTGAATCATGTGGCCTTCTACTAATTGAAAAATGTTAAACATTATAAAAGAAAGTTTTACCAACTCATTGAATGAACATATTAGAAACTAACTAGCAGTTTCCACATGAGAAAACAGATTTAGAGGAGAAGAATTTAATTCTATTTGGTCATTCAGTAAATGTTCAGAATTCTCAAATCTATTAATTTTCAAGCACTCCAAAGATTGAGTTTCAAACCCTTCTCTTCCGAATGTAATACTTCATAGTCGTGGTTGAAGTCATTCCCCTCTACGTTCTTTTATTCTTTTGGAAAGAGGTTCTCTCCGTTTAGCCAATATGAAGTTTTGGACAAGAACCACAAGTCAACTTATACATTCCTAATCTTTCCAACACTGAAGTTTTGGTGGTATTCTGGTGTTTGACTCCGGTTTCATAATATTATTGGTAGGCGTGAGTTGGTTTTTCTTTATTCTATATTGGTTTTTCTCTATTGGATTACCTGACCTAGTTTGTGTACAATTGAGAACAGATAGCCAGATTTCATTAATGTTCATTGCCTCTTCCTTTCTATTGGAATGACCCCTGTGTTTTTGAATTTCTATTGCCTCTCTTTATATATTCTTGAATAGTAATTTTGAGTTTTATCAAGTATTACTGTATCTTCCAATGAGATAATGTGAGTGCCCTGTTTTTTGAGAGCATGTTCAACTACAGCTGATTTGTCGCTTCGTCCAAGGCAACAATTTCTGTTGTGTTAAGAGAGCCAGACACCTACATTTCTTCTCGCGATTCCAGTGTAGACCGACTCGCAGCTACAAGAAATACGGTATAATCCCGGTGTTGCTAAATGTTCTCTGGGGTTCTTAGATGACCTTAAACTTTCTCTGATAGGTTTTGTTGGCCTACATATTGGTTTCACGCAGGGAAGGAAAGGTTTTCCCTTGACTAGCCAAGCTGGGGTTACTTGAGCGTTCTTTCTCCTGAATTGTATGGCCCAATCGAATTCTCCTTCGACTTCATCAACTCCCAAGCACTCAATATGCTGAAGGAATCAATCAACTTGTGTTACATTGGCAAAAGTTGGCAAGTTCAAGGTAGACACATAAAAATGGACAAAATTTTGGAAATAACCAATATTATATTATTTCTTCCACTCACTTACAAAATGTATGTGAAAAACTATCTGGAACTAGAGGTTATTATGATAAAGGTGGTTACATTACATTTTATATTCACCAAATCAATTCATTTAGTTTATTTTAAAAAATGTTTAAATGCTATTTATGCACAACGAATAGATTCATATTCTAATCAAGTATAAAGAATTAATTCCTAACTATTTTTCATATATTTAATTAGTTTTAGTTATTTTACATTTATGTCTTCGTATAATTTTATTGTATACTTCATATTTTATAATTATTTATTCAAGTATGTTTTGATATTCCCATATTCACAACTGTTTTCCATACCATTTCTCAACATAGAAACTCAAAATACCTAAATTAGTTTAGGAAGAATAAATTAGATGATCCATGCGCAACCGTAAGGTCTTAAATGAGATTTCTCATTATTTATTTACTAATTGTACTGGCTTAAAGTAAAAGATCGTGTGAAAAAAAAAATGTGAATAAACGCTATTAGGTATTATTATACTCGTAGAAAGGAGCAACCATCGGATATTTCAGACAGAGGGAAATTAAAAAAAAAATCAACTGAAAATTCTAAACATTTATTGAAAGTGAGTAAAGCATATTTTAAGAATATCTAACTGAAAATATCATTCTTTAAACTGATGAAAAATATTAAATAAATGTTCAGGAATAGTACAGTCTGAACTTCAACCTGAAATACATTATTTTTATTTTTTTTTCATTTCATTGTAGAGAAATAAGCTAAGCAGGTCTGAATGGAAACATTTATTCTGTGAACTGACTTTGTCTTCCAGTAAAAATAATAACATCGTTGAATGTCAAGACAAATAGAAATGATCTATTCACGTAGAAAGATTTCGGCATCACCTCTCCACTATCACCTATTCTATCCTCGACACCAACTACGAAAAAAAAAAAAAAAACGAAAAAGTCAGTTAGGAGGCGAGCCAAATAATTTATGAAAAATATCATTATTTGAAAATTAATGCATACTTACTTACAGTTAATTACACTAGAGTTAGAGTTATAATCACATGCTAACTATCAAATCAAAATTGAGCCTTCATTTTCGAGTCGGAATTGTTCAATAAATAATTAAAAAAATATACTGGAGATATAAGAAAACATGTTAATTCTGCGATGGGTTATTCAAGTAAGAGTTTCCCATCGATTGAAGTAAATCACAACTCTGAACGCTATTTTCCGGTTTTTTCAGCCGTGGCTTGCAGGTTTCTATGTCTGACGTTTCGTCTATTGCTGCGAGAGACATTACCAGAGGCGATGAAGTATCGATCGCAGGGCCAGAGTTGGCGCTCGAGTTGTTGTTCATATTGTTAAGAACGCAGTAATTACGATGCTAATATTCGACTCTGGTTTTATATTCTTATTGATAAGCGTGGCTTAGTTTCTCTCAATTGAATTACCTGACCTTGTTTAAGGATAGGTAGCCAGATTTTATTAATGTTCATTGCATTGACAAATCAGCTGTAGCCGATAAAGCTCTTAACAAAGAAGGCACTTACATTATCTCTTTCGAAGATACAGATATACTCGATAAATTATCAATAACTAGCAAAATCGTTGAGAATATTTCAAAACATTTAAATTGTTGCGATAGTTCAAGACCCTAAATGTGTTTACAACTTATGCAAAATGAGGCTACATCTTATTTTGACAGGCTGGTTCAAGAATGACTGGATGATAATATCTAAATCGATAAAGCATCTGATATGCCGCCTTTAAACTTTTTTATAGAGATTCCTGAAATCAGAAGTGATGCCGAAGGTAAAATTAAAAGGGGGGAGCCTTATTCTACTTCTGGTATGAAATATTTGTTTATTTATCAAGAATTAGTAAGTGTAGAGTAAATACAATACTTCTTGACTACTTGTAACCCCATAGTTCAACTTTTTTTCTGCAAAGCCAAAACTTGGGTAGCTTATACGGTTAATTAAATCTGACATAATTTCGTTTGGTTACACAACTGCTTATATTTATGTGTATTTTCAAAAAGAAGTAAAACAACCAGAAAACTACACATAAAGAAGGATGATAGAGAGAGACAGATAAAGAAGAAGGATAGAAAGTATTTACGTTAGACCCACCACCTTAATCCAGTACATATCAAACAAAAAATTATCAGATTTTCATGTTCTTCAGAACTGCGAATAATTTTCATACTAGAAAAATAACTTCCATTTTGGATGATAGTAATTCAGATTCGTTGAAATCCAAACACGAAAAACAACATCTGCTCATTATTGTCTAACCAGCAAATTTATCAAAATAGTTACACAATTCTGGACTATTAGATACAGAGGTACGTCTGCTGATGACACTGCAACCAAATCAATGTTCCACAAGCCCCCTTTTTTTCTATGTCAATGTTGATATCTCCAGGAACGACAGCAGGATAAAATGAACGTAATGCGTTTTTGTAAAAATATTTAGTGGAAATCTCACAATAAATCGTTTCTTAAAAGGTCATTTGCTCTTTTCTTTGCAGAAGCAAAATTTTTCCCAAATTTGCATTCAAATCTAATCATTCATGCTACATCGAAATATTCAAAAACTGTTTTCACTACTTTGAAATGTACTATATAAAAGTTGTTTTTGACTATTCAGGAAGGTTATTTTTCAGATCATTAAGAGAAAAACCTTTTAAGAACATACGATCTGAAATTCTCAATGATATAAGGTGTATTCAATAAGATACCTTGAATATTTTTCTGGAAAACATACATGAAATGAATTTTCTATTGTACATTTTCAATTCTTCTCGGTGGAAGGTGAGAAGCAACTACTTCCTTTATTATTATTTGATAATTAAAAAGCGTTTTGCTACACGATAACTTCACCATTATTTGAAATGATTTAGGTATTTTTTCCGCCGTCAAACGAAAAATAAAAACTAATAATACAAAACCTGATTCCTAGACAGGAATGATGATTTTGAAAGTGATTTTTACTCGAAGAAAAAGCAGTGATGTATTACTTTTCTTTTTGAACTTATTCAGTGAAAATCCTGTATGAACGCCACTCGTAGAAACATAAAATTATACCTACTTACTAAGTTTCAACAAATATCTAGGATCATACTCATACAGAATATTTGTATAAAACTTTAGTAGCTGTAGCTCAAAAGTAAGGATTTTTAAGACATTCATTCATATGTAAATAACTTCGATTTATTTTTTCAACTCATTGGAAACTTCCTGCATGTTGTAATGTTGAACGGTAGCATTAATTTTTAAAGATACGTGATTATTAACTATCCGAAACTAGATTGAAAATATATTTTCAAAACTGTAGCCGCAAACTAAATATGCTCCAGAGATCACTGGCTTTCAAACTGGAAATAATCTTCACACATACAATCGATGAATTTATGATTAGGCATCTCAACAACCATCGGCCCAAGTCAAGAAGCAAGCCTGCCTGTTTGGAATCTACAGACACAATTTCTGTGAACCTTCGAAGTATGAATTTATGAAGATTCCAAGTGGAATTTCACTGAAATCCATGTTAGATATTAGGTTGTTTCAGAAGGTTTGTCCGTTTTAAAAACATGTTTCTTCGTAGTGTGTAGACTGATCGATAGAGAATTTTCAACTCTATACATTGATACTGTTCACTTTTTTCCAAATTTCAATTTTTGGCGATTATCGGCCAATTTTTCTCTACGAATTCAAATTGAACCAAAGCGCTGCCTAAACAGCCCGAAAAATCAACCACACATTGGCAATGAAAGCGTCAAAGAACGCACTACTGTTCGACGTTGGTTTGCAAAATGTTGTTCAGTATATTTAAGCCTCGAAGATGAGCCCCAAAGTGGTTGATCCACAGTAATCCAGGACGAGGATTTGAGGACCCGCGACTGACCCATCACAAAGGGTGCGTGGAATGGCGGAAGAACAAGGCGTCCGCTCCCATGCGGTTTTTGATGGTTTAAAACGATTTGCTACGACAACAGGAGACATTCAAAACAGTGGTTGGACATCGATGAGCCACCCAGGCACTTCCCAAAGGTGGAAACCCATCAAAAAAGACCATGGTTTCTGTATGATGGTCAGCGGTTGGTGTAATTTTCTGCAACTGGGCCAAACTACTTTGAAGAAATCGACGAAGTGTACTAAAAATTGCGTCAGCACTGGTCAACAGAAGAGGTCCGATTCTGCTCCACTACAACACCCGTCCGCATGTTTCACTAATTCTGCCTCACCAACTATCACTGAGATGGAGATGTATTAAATCAGTTTAAACTTGCCATGAACAAGCTTAGAGAATGAGACAGTTAGATTCATTAGAATAAGTGGTTATCGAAACTAATTCCAAAATAAATGAATGGGTTGGTGAACCACTCCAAACTAACTCTACTCAACCGATACGAGATCAAATGTAAATTTTCCACAATGGAACTTATGTCGTAAAAGATGTAATTGAAATATAGTCTAAGGCTGGAGATCTAAGATTCAATAAAAAATGTTCAAATTATTTCAAGAGATACCATTCCTTCAATCTGACATGGAAGTGTTCTCATGAAATTTATTTCACTCCCATAAAAGCCTTCATTACGAGATTCAAAGAGATTAGGGCTATGGTTGTGATTCCGAGTCCATTTTTTATAGTCCCAACGTGGTGTTATAAATATGAAATTCCAGTACTATTCTGCCTCCATAGGTGGAGTAATAAATTTCAAAAAGAGACTTCTTGAAATGTAAAGCTTGATAGATGTTAGTGGTGATGGTGTAAAGCTAGTCCTTTAATAATTTGTTTGATTCTGTACCTTCAGCAGAGTAAAATCATGCCTACTAACCTGCGGTAGCTGCGGCAGCCTCGGTGCCACTTTCAGTTACGTTGATGAATGCTTTCTGAACGACGTCGGAAATAACGAGATCCTTGTGTGTTGATGATAGACCACTCAAGTCGGCTTCTCTCCCAAATACTTTATTGATACCCAACTGCAAAAGACAAAATTATGATCACTTAGATTTTTCAATTATAACCTAGTTATTATAATAATTCAAATAGATACAATACCCTATCAATTCATGGTTCATCGATGCCGATAATGAAGCTACGAATCATCGTCGATTGAATTTATGAGAAACTCGTCATCAACCTTCTAGTTTACTGTTATATCAATAATTCGTTTATTTTCAATACGTCTAGTATTATTTATTGATGACTAACGTGATATTGAGTTGATAAACAACACCCTGTGCTTCAGAAGACACTTCTAGGGTGGATACTTTCAGGAAATTTCTTTTTCTCAAAATATTTAAACGGAACCCTACACAAACGAATTATTGAGAAAATGTCGGGAGATAGTGAGGATTGATAATTCAACAAAGGCTTTTATCCAATTCTGAATGGATTTACCAGGTTCACTGCGTTATTAGTCAACAAAAATGGCATTGAAAAGATTTTGGCAATAGAGAGAAAAATTGAACAACAAACTTATATCAGAGTTTGTACCTCCAATGCACGTGTGTAAAGTAGATCAAAAAAGAAATATCCTTGATATTATGCAATATTTGCTACATCACGCGATTGATAAATAATCTAGTTCAACTACAAAAGTATGAGTGGTATTCGATGTTAGTGCTGCAACTGATAATGGAATGATCTACAGTATAGTTATATATGAATAATAATGAAACTTGGGCCTAGAATACATTGTGAATTGTTTCTGAATACGTAATAAGTTCTGATAATTCTGATAGCAGTTCTTTTTTTTTAGGGGTTCTCGATTATTTATTATTATATCCATTATATGGGGCTTCGGGTGATTACCAACACCGGACGATTTGGTAGACATCGGAAAATTAGGTGTTACCAGGTAGTTGGGAATCTCTAACCATCATCACGTTTGTTCAGGCGGGGAGGTCGCTTATTTACTTCGATGTCATCGCGAATTATTCGAGCTTGCAGTGTCCTCGCTTAGTATTCGCAAAGGGTGTTTATTAAACATTCGACAAAAATCTAAGTGACTATTCCTTGGACTATTCTGAGGATATTTTGTCCTTTGATGATTTTTGATATGGCGCTTTGTTTCGAAGTTACGGAGCGAAAGAGAATTTCGACAAAAACTAACCCCTGCTCAGATGCCAGAATCCAATCTTCTCCGAACTCTTTCAAAAACACCGGGATCGTTTCTGATTGCGCTACACCCAGAAATTATCCGATTTCTTAAATCTTTCCCTTCTTCCACTGGAGTTGTTAATAGGTACAGGATTTGTTACATTTAATTTTACTTGGTAGGTCCAGTTTAGTACGCTATACTTTTATTTCGGCTACCTTAATAATTTTGAAATTACCAAAATTATTATTGTCGAAATTTTTCTCCGCCCCGTATCTTCCACACAAAGCGCCTTATCAAAAATCATCAAAGGACAAATTATCCTTCGAATAGTCCCTTAATTTTTTGCCGCATGTTTAATAAACGTCCTGTGTGTGTCCTGTCTCTTGATGATGTTTGGACAGGGCTGAAAATGGGTCGGACATCAAATTGATGTTCGTATACTCTACTTGACACACGTTTGTTGATCTGGCCTACATAATATGTTCTTTGGCAATCGGAACATGGAATTTCATACATACCCTGGAATTCATTGACAATTATGTCCTTGGGGGAACGAAGGAATGTGAAAATTTTATTGTTGGCGGTGAATATAGTTTTTATGTCCTGTTTTTTTTTTAAATTCGGCAAATTTTCTCAGTAACACTTTTAATGTAGGGAAGGAAAATTTTGTGAGGATCGTTTAGGTCTTTTGGATATCTGGAACTGGATTGAGAAGTTTGTTGACGACAGATGGATCTGTCACATTGATGGACTCTGAATCCATTTTGAAGCAAGGCTAATTTGAGTTGTGGATGAGAGAATTCAAAACGGAATTAGTTTGTGCTGAATGATAGTGGCAGTTTGCTTTTTGGTATCTGTGTGTGTTGGTTTTCTGTAGACCGTGTGGTAAAGGAGTTATTGGATTTTGTGATGAGGACATTTAGGAATGGAAGGGAGTTATTGGTTTCAATCTCCATTGTAAACGTTATATTTCGGTGGAGATCGTTGAGGTGATCAAGGAAATTATGTAGAGTTTCGGAGCCGTGGGGCCATATAACGAAAACGTCATCTATACGTATCTGAACCAGGAAAATGGTTTGTGGTCAAATGTGTCAATAGCCTGGTTTTTGAAGTCTTCCATGAGAAGATTTGCAAAAACCGATAAAAAATGAGAACCCAAGAGGTACTCTCCACTTTTTTGTAAAAGGTACCTTGGAAAAGGAAGTAAGTGCACAAGTAAGAGCCTAACGTGGACAAATCTAACGATCCCGGCGCCGGTTCACATCAACGTGAGATGACCATGCCCTCAAATCGTTCGGGCAGAACATCTAACGTTGCATGAACTGTGTGGCACGTAGCACTGTCCTGCTGAAACCACATGTCGTTGCGTGTCCAGATCATCCAAACAGTAACTTTTTCGAGATGCATTGAACGCTCTTAGATCTCATGTGGATTGGTACCTATCGTTCCAAATTTGACAATTTTGTTTGTTCGCGTGCCTACTTATTCAGAAACGGGCCTCATCGTTGAAGATGATTTTTCGAAGAAAATTAGGGTCAGTTACCAACTGCTACATAGCCCATTCAGCGAACAAACTTTGTTGTCTATAGTCGTTTACCTCCAGTTCCTGGGTCAGTTTAATTTTGTTTGGGTGCAGGCCTCAGTCACGACGCAAAATTCACCAAGTTGTGGTCTGCGAAAGGACGAGTTCTTTCGAGAGACGCCAAATCGATTGCCTCAGATTTTCCTGCACACTCTCACAGACAGCGGCGATGTTTTCGGCAGATCTTGCGCACGAGTGTTAGTCGATCGTTTACTTAACCATGGAACTCAAATTTATCCACCATATTGCGAATAGTCCTGTCGGTAGGACGATTATTGACGACCGTGAAATGGGCGAAGCGCGCGGTACATTGCTGGAAATATAAAATTATGTTTATAGTTATACTGAGTTATGTACATACCTACTATTTCAGAATGTATAATGGGGAATGTTCCTCCTGACGAAAATCAAGTAGTTTTCATAAAAGAGCTCTAAAACAATGCATTTTAAACTTATCATTTCAACCTTTTTCTTTAAAAAATGATTTGAATACTTAAAAAAGGGGAATGAAATAATGCATTCAACATTTAAAGGGATTCATTTCTATTTCACCATTTGCCAACATCGGTTATAGCTAATAAAGGATAATGAATCTGTTACCTGTATCAGACAAACAAAGATGACATATTTCAGAGGGGTGCTGTTCTGTTTACTTATGTTCCGAGTTCCGAGACATTCTGTGACATATGACATTTTGTGCACCTAACCTATCTTCCTCTATATAAATAAATAACGAAACAACTGTTGTTTATGTGGCTTGCGGAGGTGGTATTGAACTATAATTTATATTTTGCCTCAATTGTTGATTTATAAAGATAATTTTCCTTTTTTAAAGTAGAATATCTAGGTACGTATAAACCAATATGTGAATTAGAAACAAATCCCTTTAAAAATTAAAACCCAACTTTTGAAACATCAATTTGAATACTTTTCGAAGTGAATTTGAAAAACTCATGAATTAAACTCAACTTTATTTTGTTCAAACTTACATTTGGTGTAATAACCCAAATTGAGAAACATTCTCCATTGAAAGTAAGAGACTGTGTAAAACTTATTTGTAAACAAAATTGAGCTACAAATAATAATCTTGGGAACTCATAGTATTCACAGCTGAAAAATATGCCAATAAAATAAATGTTTGCGGCATATGAATCTGAATATATTTATCTTTGATTATTTCCCAATAAAAGAAGAAGCGGCAAATTGACGCAATGGTAGTGTATCAGGCCCTCGAACGAACGATTCAAGGTTCGAATCCGCTATCGACCAGATATTTTCCTCGAGAAAATTCATATAGTTGGATATAGATTGGTACTGATTGGGAAATACTCATGTCTCGTTTATATAATATTACATTCTAATATCCGCATATATTTATCGTCTATACTTCACCGAAATAACACGTGATATAATTCAAATACATCAAATTTATCTGTTCCATGAAATTTACATGAATTATATATTTGCTAACGATGTCATCATCCATATCGAGATCAGTTCTAATAGGTAATTGATGAATATGCATGTCGTTCAATTTCATTATCGAGGAGTGTTCATGATAGATATTTTTTCGTTAACAGCTCAATAAACTGCGTTTGATATGGTGGTAAGGAATGCTGATCACTTTCCCCTGTAACCATGTTTTAAAAAACAAACTTGATTTATAATAAACCACTATAATGTATATAGTAAGCCAACAATTTTTCAAACCGCAACTGTAACTGCAATATGTGGAACAACAAAACATAATGGTAATGCACTAATGATAATATTTTATAAATACATTAATAATTATTTCCTGTGGGTGTCTCATTTTGTGTTATTTTTCACTAGGAGATTAAAATGGAATACTCCAGTGAATGAGGGATAATGATTTAGAAAGGATGAAAATGAATTATATGAAATAAAAATGTATGCTATGATAATGAACTTATCATCAGTTTAGATAGTGGTTTTCATGATTCGATTGATAGAATAAATATCATGATTGTGTCAAAGCTATTTTCCGGGTTTCTCGGCCGTGGTCAGCAGGTTTTAATGTCTGACTTTTCATCTACTACTGCGGTAGACATCATCAAAGGCGATGAGGTAACGGTAGAAATGCTCAACGCAGAAACCACAATGTTGGAAATTGTCTCCGGTTTTGTACCATCATTGGTGGGCGTGAATTGTATTATAGTCTGAGAATTTTCAATTAAAGGTAACTTATATACAAATGAAACTGAGAGCTAACGGCAACAATGTTAAATGTTAGAACTAAATTCTTACCGGGGTCATTTTTATTGTCTGTGCATCGCCATTGTAAATAATTGAAAAGTGAGATGATTCCATAAAATTTGCCCCCGTTACAAGATAGCTTCTGCATATCGATAGGATGTACGAGCGAATAGGTGAACCAGTTCGTTAAATACTTTGAAACATCGGTAAACTGATCAACACTTCGCAGGTATATTATATTTGCGTCCTTAAATTGCCATAACTAGTCATTCGGTTTCTTCATTATCAAGCGTCCTTATCTGCATAGGCGTAGTGTGTTCTGTTTCTTGTGAAGGTGACTTTGTTTTGTATTTATTAAATATATTTTATTATATTTATTAAATAGACTGTTATATTTATTAACTTTAAAATATAAGATAGAGTTGGCGGATACTTGTTTTTCAAAATACATTATCATAGATTTTCATCACATTCACACTGTATTGTGAGATAATTAGTTAACCTAGTCATTAAACTCAGGTATAACTGTCATTAATTAGTTCCAAGAATATTATGTTACTTACTTTCTTCAAAATGGGTATGAATTTGATTTCACTTTCAATTGTGAAACGAGGTAGTTGAACATCCACTCTTTCGAATTTTAATGGCTGCGGTTCCAGGAGTTCTTCGATATTTTGTTCAAGTTCCGCCAAACCTTCTTTTTCGTTTGGTAAGGCAATGATCATGCTGATGTTAGAACCTGAAATAAAAGTAACAGGTCTCACCTAAATCCTAACAGAGCTCCTTATCAAGTTCGTTCTCAATTTACAAAAAAATAAGAAAATTCAAGAATGAAAGATGAAAAGCTATGAAAAATCATTTTGAGTGAAGTTTCGACACATTTCTATTGTTTGTATTCAACTTTCAAATACTCCTGGGAATGATAATAATAATAATGCGACCGTAAATGAGCAAAAATTGAAGTGGCAGCTCCCCGAGAGGCTGATAAACTTGCTTCAGTTCAAAGAATGTTTTAGTTCTACACCGAACAAACTGATTACAACTCTGTCATCGAGTTGGAACCCGTTCAGCAGAAGGCACACATGAAAGCCACATATATCATTTCACTCCTGCCGAGGATAAGCCGATGCATGGAGTCTTCTTTCCCTTTCCTCAAGTCAAGTGGGTTGAAGTCGGACACTGAGGGGTTCATCATGGCCTGCCTGGATAGTCTCAGGCTTTATCCATCGACATAACGCGGCCCTAAGAGTGCTTTATTACCACCTACGGCACTTTTACGGTATTAACGAGAAAGCGGTGCTAATAAGCCTGATGTTGTTCTTCTCGGCCATTAAAGCAAGTCGATATTGCTAGTGGAGTATTCATCTCCGGATAAGACGAATATCAACAGAAGAAAGAAAGAAAAACAGTGAAATATTGATATATAATATAATGATTTTATTTACAATATTGAATAAATATAGATGGGACAAAGAGATAAACTATACGAAAACTGGCATCGAAGAAGCAACATTGCAGAAAAAAATGTTACTTGTGTGTGATATCGCCAGTTTAGATCTATAACTGGTGAATAGAAAAACTAACAGAAAACAGGTCACATAGTTTATCGCAAAATCACTTATATTGATCCGTATCTCAATAACAAACCAACATCCCGGGCAAAACATGCTAGGATGAAAACATTTGTTGGTCGTGCCAGCAGGACGTAATGAACTTCGTCATCCTCAACTACAATGGTTTCATAGCGCAAGACATAAATTGTGTTCTACAGCTTAGAAGATAAAATACTTCAACTTCGAACACAATATAGTCGCCAGTGATAGAAAGAGTACGTTTGCCTTACATAAACAAAGTCAAGGACCGCATCGGAAAACTGTTTGAACGTCACAAAGTAAATTCCATTCACAAGCCAACTGGTCATCTCTATCCAATCGGTCAAAGACAAAGAGAGCCTCTGGCACCACGGAATTTTCTGTTCCTGTGGCTCAATTTACATCGAAACTGAACAACGCAGTTGTTCTTTGAATTTGTCCAATTCTGATCTGTTCCAATAGTCTGATCTGTGTGACAGGCTTCATTCCTCATGAAAATTTCCAGTCAATATCACAGTTCCTTCGCTGTCACCTGTCGCTTGTCATTTGTCAACTATCACTTGTCACCTATGCCATCATACGTCAACTGCCGCCTGTCAACAGTCATCGTCATCCGTAACCCACTTCGTTACCAACTGGCCGGATAGCCTTAGTTGCTGAGGCCATTGAATTAAAAAGAAGAAGAAGTCCGTAACCCACCATCTGTTAAATGTGTTTTTGACAGCACAATGATATCTATTATACTATTTTTGAAAAATCCCAAAACAAGTTTATTTTGATTCTGAAATGGCATTTTTCGAACATAATTTTGTACCTTCGACTTCAATGAACTTGACGTTGAAGAAGTTCTTTTGAAATTTTTCAAAAAGGGGTCATGTTTGGATTCTACAACCACCAATATAAGACTTTTGGATTTTCTTTCAATTAATGTGAACGAAAAGAGATAACTGTGTTACATCTTTTCTCCGTATTGGCCGTGGTCTGCAGGTTTCTATTCCTCACGTTTCGTCTACTACTGAGGTAGGTTATGAGGTTACGGTCGAAGGCCAAGGCCAAAAAACCCGGAAAATAGCTTTATTATAGTTTCTATAGATCTTTTTTTGGAAAAATGTGATCTTTATTTTTAATATTATGAAGTGAACGAAAGAATACGGAACTCATCAAATCAAATGTGCGAGGGCATTCTGGGAAAATTATTCTTGAGTAAGAAGAAATCCGAGTAACAGGCGCCAGTTTCCCTACATATTATTGAAAAAATATTATATGAAAATATGGATATTTATAAGTCCAGTCCAAACGTGAAATGCCATTTTGAATTTTCAAGCTCAATTTTTTGGTGGAGAATATATGAAATAAAAAAAGTGACACAATTGAAAACTTTTCTGAATGAGGTATAAATGGCACCCAAATTCCATTTACAAATTATTAATAGGGTAATACCATTTGTAAAAATTAAGGGGAAGCATAAAATTATCCTTGAAGAATGTCATTTTATAATTGAAAATTTGTCATTCGAGAAAGTTGAGATCTGGTTAAGAAAAAGTGACCATAAGAAATAAACACGCGGTATTTTTTAATTGAATTCCACGGTGCATAAAAAAGGTTATATGTCACTCCATCATACCTCTGATAGTTTCGAAAATATTCCTATTGTTGTTCTATACAAATACTGAAATGATATGATTATTATATGGAAAATGAATGAAATGGCTACATTTTTCAAATTACCCAGAAAAGTTACCTTGATATGGCAGTTCGAGAAATTTAGCATTCAGTTTTGGATTTTCGTAATATTTCAAATATTCAGTCTGGTGCATCATATCTACATCTACAGACTCGTCCTTTGATTTGTAAAACTTCTTCTTTGATGTGAGGTAATCTTCGAACTGGTTCTGCCATTTTCCACTGAAGTACAATGCGTTTATCAGAACGAGTTTTGTATCACCGTCAATGTCATCAGAATTGATCAATTCCTTGATTTTATTATTGGTGCGGCTTTCAACCCATTCATTCATTGTGTCAGCTGCTTTCACATTCTGAACAAAGTCGATATTCTCAAGACCTACAAAAAATATCAATGTTAGATTTTCAGGCAAGCCATCAGAAAAGTTCAATCCATTTGTTACAAATATCAGGTTCAATGACTAAGTTTATTCAATAGATAGAATTGGAACATCCGGCATACAATTCATCTAAGGAAAAACATGTTTTCCACACCAGAATAAAACACTGTCTCTCAATGCGCGGTTCGCTAACCAAGTCCACCATCATCATGAGATGATTAGAGTCTTGATCATGTCCAGATGATGCTAACTTAGTTAGCGAAACTCGCGTCGAGATATAGTGTTTTGTTCTGGTGTGGAAAAAGTGTTTTATTCAGACTATATTTATTCACTCTTAAACAGTAGATTGATCCGTCCTATTATAGTATAATTTGAGATATTTCAGAATCTCGTTTACGTAAATAGCAGAATGGAAACTATTCTTATGTGGGGTCTTCCAACATGGACTTTCGAACTCTGACAATTGATAACCGCCATCTTGTTGAAGCTATATCTGCCAATTTAGTTCTCAATTATCAGTCTGTTCTGCAGATTCATCATGGACAGAAATACCATTCAACAACACGTGCAAATAATTCAATTGTTTTATTAAAATGGGTGTTCTGTTCGGGCTTTTGGGGTGTTCTGTTCGCGCTTTTGCCCATTTTACTGGTCGCCATAATCGTCCAACCGAGAGGACTATTCTCAATATGGTGGTTCAGTAAACGATCGAGCAACATCCGTACATCGTTGAAACGTACGATCTGCCGAAAACACCACCGCTGTCTATGAGGGTGTGCAGAAGAATCCAAGGAAGTCGATTTCGCGTCGCTCATAAGAACTCTGCCTAGATTGGGCATTATACCTGGTGTCAAATTTAAAACTTCCCACTCTTGATATATCGCTTCCAGTAAACAATATGAGGAATCGAAAAAACAGATCAATTTTATTGTCAAGGGGGACACTTTCGAAGACTATTTGTAGCCCACGTGGTTCAACCCCCTAGGAGGAAAAGATATTACCCTTAGAATTTTTAATGGGAATGCTCTAAACAATAATAAAGTCTAACCCCTCTAACATTACGGAAAACTTCACTATGAATTGACTTGCATGCTGCTGTAACTCGTCTTTCAAGTTCTTGAATATCAGAAGGTTGTGTTTTATAAACAACAGATTTAAGATGCCCCCCAAAGAAATAAATCTAAGGATGTTAAATCTAGTTATTTCGGAGGCCATTCAACTGCTCCCCTTCTGCCAATCCATATATCTGGAAATCTTTCGTTCAACCACTGTCGGACGGGAAGAAAATAATGAGATGGAGTATCGTCCTGCTGGAAATAATAATAATAATATCATTTATTGCCCAACAGGTAACACCCAATTTCAGAACATAATTAAATACATCAGTACTGATAATAGATAAAATAAATTAAAAAATCATGTTCATTCTTGACATGCTATATGAATATAACATAACAATGATATGTAACTTCGAATAGAAAATAAAAAAAAAGAAAACTAAAACAAAAGGAAAAAAAATGATAGTATAACTATTCATTGCGCTACTTGGTAAGAGTGGTTATAATATCTGACTCTCAAAACAGTTTTGATATCACTTTAAGATTTCCATTGCAACTTTTTTTATATGTTTCGCCGAGCAAGTATTAATATCGCAAAACCTGTATATTGAGTTGTAGTTTTCACACATATATTTAATTGAAGAATGCGATATTATGTTTGTTGGTGCTGCAAAGCAGTAAAATGTGCGATTCAGCCGTGACTGAGCTCTTGGCACCCTAAAGTTCAGTTCTAACTACGGTCGGTAGCCAAGCGGTTCGGCGTGGGTGCTTTGTTCACTCACTCGAATTGACTGCCGTGTTGGTCGGTGGTTCAAGCCCAAGCCTGAACGATCGATCTTCACTTGCTACCGTCCAACCCGAGTTGTGAATCACACGTTAAAAGGTTAGACCTTGTTAATCCTTAGCTTCCACAAGTTTCGACTTTTGATGGTTGTCGTTCGTAGGGGTGCGACAGCTGGTTAACGGAAAAACAGATTTTAAACAAATTTTTAAACACGAGCAAATGGCAGTCTACTTGGCTGTGCAGTAGTTTATGCAAAAATGTTATTGAAGCACATCTTCTCCTTTTTTCTAAAGAAATTAATTGAAAGTGATTGTCTAGTGGTCAGAACCCCTAGCTGGATAAATTCCAGTGTTTTTGAAGTACAAGAATTTCAAAAATTTTCTTTGAACTTTTTCAATTGAGTACTCATTACAGAAATAGTAGGGTCCCTGAGGTACTCCAGACTGTCCACGTGATGTTTTCACCACCTGTCGACGTCCTGTCAAATATGAACCAAACCAGTTCAAATTTGTTCCTCTTATCCCATAATGGCTGAGCTTCCGCTTATGATCAACGCAATCGAAAGCTTTCGAAAAATCACAAAACACTGCTGCAACAGCCTTGCTAGAGTATGCATTTTCTGTGGTTTTTTTGAACTTTGAAAACCGAACTGAAGGCTAGATAGCACATCGTTCATCGATAAGAAGGACATTAGTCTTTTTTTCACTAATCTTTCAATAGTTTTTAAAAGGATCGATAATAAGATTATAAGAGGATCGATACTGTCTTCAAACATTTCAAGGTACATATTGCCAGTCAAGTTTTCTTTCAGAAATAATGGACCAATAATGGCATTTTCAAGAATACCAACCCAAACATTACATTTTTGTGGGTGTTGTGTATATATGTGGATTTTCGTCACTCCAATAGCGATAATTTATGCATTTTCGATGCTTTTCTTACAGTCTCGCGTGACATCCCCGTCTGTTCTGATATTGATCGTAAGGAGCTCGTAGGCTCTGTAGCAAATGTANATTCATCAACATACATGATTCCCGTTTGTAGATTATTGATGGGTATTTAACATCTCGGAATAAATTTACTTGGCTGTTTCACTGAGATTGAGAAGTACTATCTGAAACACAGACGAGTCTCACTTTTGAGCATTCCGTACTGATTTATGTCACAACTGCATAATATCTTATTTGAAAAAATTATCTATATCATATCATTATCTATAATGAAGTCGTAACACGCACTGGTAGCAAGAAACAACAAAATGTAATGTCTGATTTTACAAGAATTGTGAATGGAGATGCAATACATACACTGAAAAGTGATTATTGAAGTAATTAGTCAAGATTACCTAACTCAATTGAAAAGTTATCGACATTAATTATATATCCAACTGAAGAACGTTGAGAGAATCTGTTCCGACAAGTGAAATTTTACAGAGATCGCGAATATGTCAAACCCTTGAAGGATCCACAGATTCACGAGAAGCGATCAAAAATATTAACTATTATGTTGTTTCAAAAGCTTTGTCCGTTTTAATGTCATGTGTTTTTGTATCTGTGTTGAGAATCACACGTTAAAAGGTTAGACCTCGTTAGCTCGTAGGGTTGTGACACCTTAAAAAGGTGTACAAAAAAGTCCGCGATGGTATATGCCCATCTCGTAAGGATAATTTACAAAGCGATTTTGGGCAATACAGCATTAATCCTTATCCAATTGAGTACCTTAAATACATTGTGCATTCAATATAGATCAATATGGCCATTCACAGCATGTAATGAATTTTTTCTAAGATATTACAGCTTTGAAATGCAGGGACATAGCGGTTGTGGCGGTACCGGTCGGAGATCCGGATAGCGCGTCGAAGGCCGCGCTTCGCCCTATAGCTTTGAGTTTTATACCTCGCACTCCATTTTGAGATACAATGGACTTCTACCAGAGGTTACTTTATGATTAGCAGGGATCGCACGCGTTTATATGTACATTTAGTATCAGCATTACACCCGTGCCGAGCCGAGGCGGGTCGCTAATCTCAAATAATATTAATTCTACTGTGACTGGGAGTATACTGATCGATAGAAAATTGTGTCATCTATACATTGATGCTGCTCATTTCTCCAAATTTTAATTTGGTGCATCTTTTCAGCATATTTACTATATGATGTCAATGAGCTATTTTCGGACAATTTTTCTCTGCGAATTCAAATTGAACTGAAGCGCTGCCGAAATAGCCAGAAAAATTAAGCAGGAACCCACAAAAAACATGGTCACTCTACGACAATGCCTGTCCGCAAGTTTCACAAATCATCGTCCGAAAACTTAATTAAATGAGCGTGGAAGTTCTGCCTCGCCAATCAGGACCAGGCAAAAACGATCTTCGTCGACTTCATCGAATGCGGCTGTCGAAATAATTGAATTAGAAAACGGACAAAGCTTTCGAAACAACCCAATCATTTGTAAAAGTAGATTCTCCAAGAGAAACGCAAATCATGTTCTTACTTTATGATTCCAGAAAAATACCATTTAAATTATCAATGCGACGTTTACTTCTGAAATGTCTCGGGATAATGGAACGATTTATAAGAAAATGTATAAATTTTGGCACTCCAAACAAGCGAAATAAAGTCTGCTGAAATTTACACCGTAAGTGGTTAACCTTGAAGTAAACAGTTGTTGGCACTGCGATAGCATTATTATTTTTCATACTCTACAAATCTGCATAAACGGCACCTGTGTCGAAACCTAATCATAAAAAAATGGTTTGAATCAAACTACTTCAGAATATTCGAATACCGAAGTGTTAGAGATATGTCTCAATGGACTTTAAAAAAATACATTAGCATTCCTATGCCGCATTTGTTTTCTCTGTACATCAAATCGCAGATATATGTTTTATTGATTTCTTAAAAAAATATTTCGAATAGACAGAAATTTATCCTTCTACTATTTTTACAGATCAGATGTAAAACCTCAAATCTGTGATTTGAGGTTTGTCATAGTATACATAGTATACAAGGTTCAACAATAAATTTCACTAGTTCGGACTTCCATTGTCTACTATATAAAATGATTTGAAATCCCTGAAACAACTAAAAAAGAAGAATTAAAAATGAATAGCTGAAAATAACAATTATATTAAGCAAAATAAACCTGAAATGAAATAATAGTGAGATAAAATACAAGTAAAATAGAACGATTGAACAAAACATTCAACTTGGGTAAATTATTTTCCAATGTACTTTTTTCAAATGTTCACATACATCAAGTCATTTTCTTCATTTGGCAGTTCAATACATTCATTACTTGATTTTGACACACTCGTTTTTAACGTGTTCAAGATATAATTCGAACTACCAAGCATTTTTCTGAGACATTACGTTACCAAACTTTTGATGTTCCCATATACATCAATGTTTATTTCTTAAGAAAATGTACAGTGTTAAATTATTGAGTAATCTTCAAAAATGAACAGTTTTTCGAAATATCGTCTCGAAGAATGAACCATATCAAAGTCCAGATTATGCCTTAGACCGTAGGTCAAGATATAAAAATCATATCTATTGATATTTGTGTGGTCATGGTCAGAGATAAGAAAGATTTCAATTCCTCTGCGATAAATCATTTAATTTTTGAATGTAATAATCTACTGAAAATTCACATAGTTCAGAGAAATTTGAATAATACGAGGTCTGTTCAAAAAATAAGGTGAATTTTCATTTTTCTCTAAAAATATTTATTCATTCATCAATTTCAATTGCGTTCCCTTGAGAGTAGTCCCCCTCAGGGATAATAAACTTGTGCTACCGTTTTTTTCAATCATCGAAGCAGTTCTAATATGCACTTTTTGGTATGTCCTTGAACTCTCTTAGCGATTCGGATTTTAACTCCTCAATCCCCTACCGGGCGCGTCCCCTGGTGGCGGATAGAGGAACGTCCAGGGGACTGAAGGCCCTGCCTGGGAAGCTAATGCAACCTTACGGACGGGGTCGCCGGACTCCTGGTCAGTGGCAGAAATAAGTAGGGTGAGGGGAACTAAAACTCCCCAAAAGTCTTTGCAAAACATGCCGCCGTGGATCAGCCTACCCAAGCTAAGGTGTGAGCAATCGTGCCGACAGCTGAATGGCCGCAGGGTGATATGCGGTTACGAACGATCCCTTTGGGGAAATGGGCGAAACCTCATGGTAATCAGACTACCTCTGGTGATGCGGAGCTCTGCCAGAGGTTATCAAATCTTCCCTTGCTACTCGTGGGAACACATGAATGAAACAAACACAAAAACAGAGACAACAATAACAAAAACCAATCCCGAGACTGGACAGAAGTGCTCTCCTCAATCTAAGGCGGTGGCTGGGGATGAACATAAATATCCACCTCAATCTAAGGCGGTGGCTGGGGATGTACAGAAATGTCCACCCCAATCTACCGTTTGGAATGAGGCTGAATATAGCAGATCACCTGGAGATATAAAACAAAACAAAAGGAGAAAGAGAGCGAAAGAGGTATGAGTGGCAGCAACTATAATTGCACTCTCCTCCTCCCCCACTCCACCTCCAACAGCAAGGGCACTTCCTGTGGCGGGAGCCAAAAGCCCAGCCTTGAATAAAGGCAAAGAACCAGCTGCCCCTGCAGGAAAGCTCCCTCACTTGTGCACCTCCACGGAGGGAACCCCTTGAAGAAGCCGCGCAACGACAGTAATGTCGCTGCACCTTCCAAAACCTTCGCGGAGGCCACCGTGAGACACATCAAGGTTGCCAAAGAGAGTGTGTGTGTTCGGCGAGTCATGGCCTTCACCTGTCGATATAAAGGAGATGTCTGTCCACTTTCCTGTAAAGGACAGGATGGACGATGACCTAGGAGGATAACTCATTGGGGGGATGTACAATGTACAAGATAATACTCCTTATTGACCGTACGACCATGTGGCAAGAACTCCTGATGCACTACGCCACGGTAATCGAAGAAAACATTAAGCAAAACCTTGACACCTGGCGTGCTTTTTTGGTCTTGGCTCTCCTGAGCTCCTCCATTGGGACGATTGGAATTGGGTTTCTATGTCATAACCCTATATCCATGATTCGTTACCAGTTACGACCTTGTTAAGCAAATCTGGATCGTCGTTGATGTCATTCAACAACTTCTGAGCGAAGCTCATCCGACGGTTTTTTTTGGAAAAACCTCATTCTCGACCGACTATGAAAAGCTTTTACCACTTGTAAACATTTTTCTGACTCACAGTACAAACTCTGTATGCCGCTGTCAACATTTCAAGTGTTTTTGAGTACTTAATGCCATTTTTAAAACAAAATTTGATGCAAATCATTTGATCCATCTTTTTCGACAGCAGAAAGTTGCGAACACGCAAAAAAACTCTTCTGACTTTTATGCTTCTCAACAACAAACTAAACGTGCTGAACAGCTGAAACTATCTATATATGTTGGAGTGTACCAACATAAAACAATGAAAAAAATCGCTAATGGAATGTATGTAATCCGCGAAATTTCAACATCCACCTTGGCAAACAGCTGGCATTAATGTTTGTCGGATACAATTCAATATATCGTTGTATTAGCTATGGAAATCAGTTGTTTTCTAGCAGATAATTTATTACAGTAACGATAGGTGAGAAGAATGTTTCGAATTTAATTTCGAAATATTCATTCATTTTCTCGAAGTATTTCTATTCGTTACAGTCGTGAATCTGATTGTGATTTCAATTGGAAAATAACCCCTTCTACTGTGATATTCAAAACAATAACCAGGAAAAATAAAAAAATAATTCTTTTGATACTATAACATTGATCTATTGCCTCGAATCTTTCATTGCATACCTGAATCATAAACATTTTCCGCAGTTGCTCTGAAGTCGTCTTCAAGTTTGGCATCATTAGCAACATAAATCTTATTGGCTGATAATAACTTCAAGTCATCGTCAGACTTCTTCAATTTTGGCAAGAAGGATTTCATTGCTGCACGAGTCCTCTCCTTGGTTTTTGGAAGGAAGAGACCAGTAGCTAATTCAGAAGCTGATTCACCTTTAGCGCCTTCATGCGTGAGTGCTAAGATAGTTTCGGCAGAGAAAGGACTAACAATCAAATTACCCTCGTTCACTTTGATCAGCTCCTGAAATTAAAACCGGTTTAAGAAAAATTGCTTTGTTGGAAATATCATATGTTTACTCGTCAAAGCACACTCTATTTCTGAAAAATACTAGCTAAAGACCCTTCCTCACTTATTTGACTGAAATTGTATCTGGTCATATAGTCTGGAACAATCCAAATGACCCATATTTTATTCTATAAGTTTGACAAATACCTTTAAAGTGAGAAATCTGGTTATCTGAAGATAACAATGATGGGGAGATTAACAGGATCCCAGATCCTGTAAGAGTAAGTTATTTGACAATATTTATATAGATGACATATTGCATTTGGAGAAAATGGCTACCACGACGCCATTTTTCATAAACAACTGAATGGCGTCGCGTACAATGATTTCCTAATCACCCGGTATATTATAAAACAAAGTCCCCCTCGCGTCTGTTCGAATTCAGAAACTACAGAACGGATTTTCACCGATAGACGGAACAGTTTTGATTCCGATAAACAGATTATAATCACGATATTAGATTGTTCTGATTTTCAAGAAAGTTGCCCATATATATTTGAGTGATGCCAACACGAAATGAATGTAGCCATAACCTTCTATATATCTCCATAATAATATATATATCGTATCTTTTGATTGGTAATATTTCTAACATAATACCGAATAAGAAATTTTCAGGCCGTGTCCTATAGGCATATGTGTCATACAGGAACGGATTATTAAACACTACCTTGCTCCGAATGTTCTGAAGGACCACGAAATACCTACTTGTTAATAACTTCGTCGTGATCAATTTCATAACAATATTGTCCCAGGGTCACAGTTTCAAATACCTCGTTGTTAATTGCTGTATAATCAAGAATAATTAGCAATTCCTCAAATAAATTTTATTGTGGAATGCAAAACTATAAGGAATTCCAAGTGTACTAAATCAGATCCTTATACAAGGTGTTTCCGGAGTTGCCGCGTTTCTAAGATACAGGGCGTTGATGTTAAAAACGGTTTTTATAAAATCATAAATATCCTTACATCGATTTGGTTGAAATTTGCTACAGTTATTTAAAGCAATAAGGCGCTTATTTAGCCCGAACTAGATTGAAATTATTGGGACCAGTGGCGTCTCAGTAGATACCACAGCCAACAATATTGAGAAATAAAAAGAACGCCACTGATTTTTTCTAGTTTTCCATTCTCTTTGATTGAGCAACTAAAAATACAATTTTTCGTCGCTTGTATTTTCTTCATATCAAGCTTCATTTTCCAGAAAAAAATCACTGGAGAACATAAAATAAAAACCAAAAATTAATAATAAACAATTTCGACCTCAAAGTAAATGAGCAAAATGTCCACCTTCTGATAAAATACACGACTGCAATCGATTTGTCATACGTTCAAAAATCCCTGGAGTTATCTTTATGACATTGCAATTGTCAATTATTCGATTCCTGAAGTCATTCACATCTAGTACAGGAGTTTTATAAACAAGAGCCTTAAGATGACCCCACAAATAGAAATCTAGAGGATTTATATCAGAACTGTGAGCTGGTCTTGCACGTCCAATCCAGCGATTTGGGTAGGTGATGTTGAGATGCTGACGAGCAAGAACACTATAATGAGCTGGAGCCCCGTCGTGCATAAACCACATGTTGCCTCTTTCTTACAAGTCCGGCACTTCTTCTAACACGTCACTGAAGATGACTGCCGCAGTTGCAGTCGAAACGTTTGGAGATTATAACCAAATATGACCACGGCAAAACTCGAAAACCAAGCAAAACATTGACGCCAGCCGTGAAAGTCTATATTCCTATATTAAAAATACTGAATATTCCAACTCGGCATACTTCACGTTATTTACAATTGCTAAATTCATATTATACCGCTTTTGACATAGGCGACTTGGTCGAATTTTGAACTTTGATCGTTAAATAGTGGACACTTTTTCAGGGATGGTTCTCCTCACCTCTGCCCTCCATAATACAAGATTTAACAATAATAATAATAATTGTCGAAGCATGGCATGGCATGTCGAAGTCTGGAGTCCACTGATCATTAGACAGGACTGATCTCAAATTACGTAATTGATAGGAAACAGAATTCAATTTATTGATAAGGATTCCACAGTTCCCCAGGAAATATGTTCGTCTATATATAATTCAAGAAATTCAACGGTCTTATCAACTGACTGTAAGTCTCCGAAATCAACTACACTAGCTTTTTTTTGTCTATTGTGAAAGCGTATACATTTTGTTTTATTTGTATTTAAATGAAGTGAGTTGGCTCTAAACCACTGAGCCATATCAAAGGAATTTTTTTTTACAATTCTGACGTATACAATATTCATCCCTATCTGATACAATAGCTGATGGATCATCAGAGTAAACAATGATTGAGCTATCACATATCTTCACAATATCGTTGATATAAAGTATAAATAAGGTAGGTCCTAGGACCGAACCCTGAGGAACACCCACTCCAGAATAATCATTGCACGATGACATATGGTTACCAATAGTGACACGATTGTTACGTTTACTCAAAAAACTTTTTATTCATTCATGAGTGACACCTCGGATACCGTATCGAGATAGTTTATTCAATAAGATTGTATGACTGATGCACCGAACGCCCTGCTTAGGTCGCAAAATACCCCAATAGGGCACTCACCCGCATCAATTGCAGTTGTGGTCGTTTATTTTGCACAAAACCATGTTGATCCGCAGTTATGATATTGAAATGCTTGAGATAAGATAACAATCTCTCCAAGAATGATAATTCAAATATTTTGGAAAAGATGGAGGCTATCGTAATTGGTCGATAACATTTGTCTGTAGATTATGTTTCTTTGAAACATCAATTGAATAAAATTTTTATTTGCAGTTACAGCATTATTTTGTACAAAAGGAACCAGGAATTAACTCACTCTCAATTTTTTCAAATTCTAAAGTAGGATTAAGGTATTTTTGTAAATAAGTTGAAGTAATACTTCCTTCAGATTCAGTCAGTATATTTTTAAGGAAGAGGTTGGTATTCTTCACTGTTACCACATATATCAAAAAAATATCTTTTGCTAAAACCATTTTTAGATTATTTACATCACCAGGAAATCCAATAGTTTACTATATATATACAGTTAACGATTCTGTCGGAATTTCTATGAGTTTAAATTATTTGAAAAATAGTACCTACGTGCCTTTGCAATTAGATCAGTTCACATTAACATGCGTTATTTAACGCTTCATTTAATTATGTTGGTTTCATAATCATCGAAAAAGAAAAAGGACCAAACCTGTCAGCAAAAATCTAAACTTTCCTTAGAATATATTTACGAGCTTAGGTGTTTGGCCTTGTTACCAAATTTATTTACGTAATGTATATTCTCGTGAAATACTAATCTAGATCCCCCAAAACTAAGGAAACTTTCTCCAAAAAAATATTAATAAATATATGATGAAATACAGTGTCTCAGGTGATGTTATCTGCGTGCATCCGATGTCCTAGGTTAATATAATTTTCTCTCAACTGTTCAATGAATGAATAAAAGACTGCAGGGAGATTTAAATTAATTTAGGTAACGTGGATATATCGATATCGTTCCGGCAAAGTGAAGTGAGATAACAACTTTCTGTTTCATAGTAGGAGGCGTGAATACAGAAGGAAATTTCTTATAAGAGCAAGTTAAAAGTTTGGCGCTATTTTGTGAAATTTTTGGTGCGGTTATCACAGGTGAGTTCAGTGTTTCGACGCATGCTTTTATAGTTCTGAAGCATACTTAATTTTCATCGTTACATCCTTTGTATGTAATTAAAACTTTTGAGTTAGGAACTGGTTTCTGGTTGCAATGGACTTCATTTGACAGATGAATGGTGACCATAGTTATAATTATTATATCAATACAATAATGAAGATGCTTAGGAATAATCGTCTTAAATTTTACTGCCATAATAACATTCGTATTTTCATGACTTGAAATCGAATTGATTTTTTAATGAATTTCATTAATTTCTTCAATATAATATCTACCAATACAAAACGTAACAATTGAAAATAACAAAATACAAGTAGGATTACATCATTAAATTAATGTCTCTTGATAGCAATTTCGGTTTGAATATCAATTTCGTTCCTAAACATGTGGTCATGTGACATGTGTATAGAAGAAGCAGGATTCTACAGTTTGTATTCATTAGGACTAAAAGTTGAGTAAAAATTTATATTCAACTGAAATCCATTTTTATTTGAAATCGCATCATCTCGGTATTATCAGTTTTTTTCAAAATTTCAGAACGATTGATGCATACAAGATTAACCAATTATTTGGAAAACAATAATCTTTTATAAAGTGATCAGTATGGTTTTCGCAGGTCTAGAGATACAGAGGCAGACAATAATAAAAAATGTTGCCTCTTGTCTTTAGATTTGTGTAAAGCATTTGATAATGTATATCATGATATACCGACCACAGAGCTGAGCAATGTTGGCGTTAGAGGGAATATCCTTAATTGGTTTGTAAATTATATGAGGGATAGACAACAATACGTTTGCATGGAAAATCAAAAAAGTTCCACGAGAAAAATAAATTTTGGGTACCACAAGGATCTATTCTCGGGCCACTCCTTTTTTTCAATATACATAATAAATTAACTCTAAATTTCCAAAATTCTTCCTTGTACCAATCCTATAATTATTGACAACAATTCAATAAGTTATACCACTTCTATTAAATTCCTAGGATTATATATTGATGAAAATTTATCGTGGACAAAACATATTGGAATTATTGGTATTCTATTCAAAATCAGGAACTATATTCNTTAGATAAGGCAACATTGTAAAATTAATTTAAGATAATTAAGACGCAGGTACCTAGCAGAGGTATCAATGGTATAAATAAGGACAATATTGTATGTAATTTAGTTTAATCTTCCTCTTGAAGATGATCACTTGGTGATCGAAACACGTGTCGAGGTGTTGAAATAACGATTTGGTGTTGGGAAAAAACCCCAGTAATATTCATTACCACACCAAAGGTTCCAAACAGTGCATCACAAGTACATTATCATTCTAACATATTACTTCATGTGTTTTGACATTAGATATAAAAAATCTAATATAAAACACTGTACCATTTTAATTAATTTTCAGGAACATGAAACCCAAACATTGTCTCGTTTTCTTCGCCTTTCTCTGCAGCCAGGCTCTGGCCACTTTCAAACTACAAGAGCACTTCCAATGGAATATCTTGGACTACGAATATCCATCAGAAGAGGCCCGTTTACAAGCGATCCTAACAGGAAGATTCAAACCAGAAAATAATCTTCCCGTAGGAATCGAAATATGGAATGATAAAATGTTCATCTCTGTGCCAAGATGGATGGAAGGTGAGTGTAGATATCTGATATTCTAAGGAGTTTTCGGTGTGATTGCTGCAGTACTGAGAATATGGCAATAACACCATGGGCTAAAAAGTCCCGGGTCTAAGAAAGGAAACGCGTTTTTTTTATTCAAAATTGGCTTTATTCATCAACGTAACATTTCAACGCCGCTCTAACATTTCAATACCACTTCTGTAGAACGATTAATCTTTTACCTCAAAATTGGCCTCAGTTTGGCCGCAATAAAATCAGCGTTATCTATATGTTAGGCCCGAGACATATGCACGGTGTCACCAACATGAGCTAACCGCACATTTGTGGTTTCAATTAGAAGACCTAGCATTTCCAGGCATTATCTAACATCACGACGTAGGCAGCTATAGCTACCTGCGTGCTGGCCATGGCAATACATCAACTCCTTCGTTGGTGAGCCAGTCAGTCACTAGACGCGCGACATGTGGACGAGCATTATCGTGCATTAGGTGGAAGTTTTCACCAACAGCACCAGCAAACGGACGGACGATAGGTAGAAGAATGGTGTCGAGGTACTGTCGAGCTGTGAGGGAGCGATTTGGAAAAACGAGAT